TTTGTTTGAAATTCTGTCTGACCGCTTGAGTTATCGCAAACTGTGTTCCCGATGGGTTCCAAAAATGCTCACTGATGTTCACAAAACAAAGCGACTTGGTAGTGCCCTGACATTTCTCACGCGGTACAGTGATGGAGAAAACTTTTTAAACCAAATTGTGACAGGTGATGAAAATTGGGTGTGTCATTTCACACCAGAATCGAAACAACAATCGATGGAGTGGAGACACACTCATTCTCTGAAAAAACAAAAGTTCAAAGTGACAATGTCGTCACAAAATATCATGTGCACTGTCTTCTGGGATAGGAAAGGCATTTTGCTTACTGAATTTCTTCCCAGAGGTGAAACCATTAATGTGGCACGATATTGTGAGACTTTAACAAACTAAGGCGTGCCATTCAAAACAAACGAAGATTAATGCTCAGTAGAGGAATTGTGTTGCTCCATTTCAATGCTTGACCCCATACTGCTGGTGTCACTCAATCGTTAATTCGACAGTTTCATTGGGAGCAGTTCGATCACCCGCCGCTTGGTGCCTACAGCTCGGACTTGGCACGGTCCGGCTATCACATGTTCCTGCACATGAAGTGCGAGCTTGGTGGCAAGCGCTTTGGATCTGACTATGACACGAAAAATGCTGTGGAGTCATGGTTATCGAAACTGTTTCTTTGACGATGGTATACAAAAACTGGTCACCCGCTATGACAAGTGTTTGATCATTGGCAACTATGTTGAAAAATAGTTTAAGACATGTATTTTCATGTAAAAATAAAATTGGATTCGAAAAAATTGTTTTCCTATTTTTTTTTTCAAAACGGTAATTAGTTTCCGAATACGCCTCGTACTTCAGCTAGCAGATTAAGATCTTATAAAAGAAAATAAGGATTTATTTTTCCATTTTAAAATTTAAATGGAAAAAAGATATTAGGAAATTACATTAATGTAGCTCTTATTCTGGGAATACTAATTATATGTTTTAAAAGTTGTATGTATCAGAAATTTGATTGTAAAGTGGCATCTTTATTTGAAAAATGGATTGTGAAAATATTTCTGAATAAGAATATTTTTTAAAAATTTAGATTTAAATGGAGATTTTTGTGAAACAATGTTTAAAAATTGATGCAAAAGCAAAGTTTAAAGTTTATAAAATTAAACATTTAGCAGCAGTAGCAATAGAAGCTCCCTAAGGTTATGTGATGTGCAGACATTGAAGACAATAAAAGGTTTCAAACTTAACCAATTTATTAACAATATAAAAAAAAAAAAAAAAAAAAACACAATGAATAAAATTAAACAATATCAGTAACTTAGAAATTATAATATAACCATCATTATCAAAATTTCATATATTAAATAATATTTTACCTGGTCTCCAAAATACTGGCATTCAATACGTGAAAAAAACGTATCCTAAACAGTAATTATGAAATAGATCCATGCTTAATGATCAAAAAGCACCTGAAAATTAAATTAAGTCCTTGAGGACACTTAAATCTGGCCTAACTCCGCTCACTGTAGTTGAACACGAGGAATCATAGCCCAGTAAAACATCGCCGCTAACTTATGTTAAATGCCGCCTTCATGAAGAACATGGATGCCGCCCACGGCAGTCACTCATCTTGTAGACAGGAACCATGGAACTTATTCCGGAAAAGTCAACTTGTAGACTGAAACCAAGGAACTTATTCGGGAAAAACCAACTTGTAGACTGGAACCAAGGAACTTATTCAGGAAAAACCATCTTGTAGACTGGAACCAAGGAACTTATTCAGGAAAAACCATCTTGTAGACTGGAACCTCGGAACTTATCCCCGGACTGCACGCATTGCAAGACGTCTTTCAATAGGGGCTGGAAACCGCACACCCAAGAGCCAAGAAAGCAGGAACTAGAAGGGATGAGCCAGAGCGATGCGAGATACTTATACCAGAAGTAGGCATGACGTCATCTCACGGCAACCAATCAGCTATCGGCACGACTCGGCTTTTCAGATGACATAACATCACGTTTCGTTTTTGCATTTCAATTAGGCTGAAACAGTCCGTTCTCAACACAATCAGTGGCAGTGGAAAAAAATAAGTAGAAGTAACTACTATATCCCTTTAAAAATAAGAACTAAGCCTAATAAATATTTCAAGGAGGAGAGATGATGCAGAAAAAGGGTTACAATAAGTCATATTTTCCAACAAATATTGTTATGGGAAAATAAATCATGACTAAAGAGAATTGTGATTGTTTTTAAAACTATGTTTAGTTATGTTAGGGGGGTTTCAGATTTTCTGGGGTGATGCAGTCATCCTTTTATTTACATGTTGAGTATTTAGTTTTAATTTATGAATGTAAAAAACTAATTCTATTCAACTTTTGGTATTTAGCAGCATTTTTTTTACTTTTTCTAGTTTAATTTATAAAACTTGTTAAAAAATAATCTAAATTTAAATAAATGTATGTGTATTTTTCAAGTTTTGAAAGAGAGGGGCTGATCGTCTAGCGGTGGTGAAAGAGGTGCATGGGGGCAAAAGAGGTTGATAATTACTGGTGTAGTCACACTTGTATAAAAAGGTCTCCTTAAAAGCAGAATTGGCTGTGCTATTTTAACATAGCTTAATTTCGTTTCCTAATTCATTGCATGGAATTTTAATAGAAAGCTTTTGTTAAACTTGAAAGTGCTTGCTGATAGTAAATCATTGAGGTTTTAGAAACTTATTTTTAGTATACTGAATTTTCAACAATAAGTTATACCCAGAACTCAATGATAATGGCTTTTGTATACAAATAAAATAGTTGTAAAATCCAGAAAGTTTTAAGTCTTGTTTTTTTAGGACGATACCTTTGTAAGCTTTTAGAGGTTACAAATGTTGCGAGTATGTTCTTGAATTATAAAATACAATATTTCAGTTCCACAAAGAAATTACATATAAAATTATATAAAATAATAACACTAAGCAAATATGTATGCTTTAAATGTGTCAATGTGTATATTTTTGTTGTTTTGGAAGAATAAAGATACAAATTTGAAAAATAAATATGAATGTAAATTATGCACAAAGTAATTGATAAAAATTGGAATAAAGCTGAATGGTAGCATATTTATTTATTGTTAAAGAAATAGTAGAATATTATCCATACTTTTTTTTGGTAATGTGTGTAGATTTCACATGCCAGTTTTAAGCAGTTTTTTTTTGAAGTATTATAGTAACTTAGCTTAAGAGGTAATGTTCTTAGGTAATGTTCTGTTATCGAGACCAGATTAAGAAATGTATGAATGTATGCATGTGTGTATGTGCATAAATGTGTATATGTATACACACATACATTCATGCCTACAACATATACATGCATACATCAATACACACGTACAGTTCTGAATCTGGTCCTGATAACAGAACAGTACCGTCATTTATCTACAGTATCCAGTTGTAGCATAATTTTACTTATACAGTTAACTATGTTAGCAGGTCACCCAAGAAGTTATTCTATTTACTAGGGTCAGGTTGTTTCATTTGTGGCCAATTTTAATTTCATTTCCGTACATTGTGTACTAGTTGTTAAGTCACCCTCGAGATATTGATTCTAGCTATAAATTTACATTCAAACTCATAAAGCGATCAGACATATCCATGTTACAGAAGGAAAGCTGGTTTCTTTTTTATCCAAAACATTTTACCAGACTGTAAACATATTCCCATTAGAAATCTATCAAACTAGTTAGCATCTGTCTATCAAGACAAATTTAATCTATACATTATCGTAGGGATATAAGTATATGTGCTTTACAAGTTCCATTACAACTCCTGCTATAACATCATTGCTCTACCCTGAGTAAAGAAGAAATTCCCAGATTTTCATCAGAAGATGATTTTCTGAAAGGGGATTAGCATGCAGGTTAGGAAAAGAAACTTAGTAACAGTGGAAAATGACTGCTAAGAAATCTTTCAGAAAGTACTGACATAACAGCGTGCATTGTCTTTGTGGAAACAGCTTTAGAAAACGGTGAATGTAGGATTAACATTACTCATCCCAGAAATAAAAAATTCATTAAAAAATATTTAGTACTTTCTGGTTATCTGCATTTTCACGAAAAAGTCATGAACTCGTTACTGACTTTTGAGAGTATTTGCAAACTCATTTGCAGCTGATTTTTGTCAAGCTAATGCGTGAATGACAATAGTCATTTTCCAAAAAGCAGCACGCTAAGAAGTCCATACTAGAACAATCAATCAAGAAAAATCAAATGCCAGTAATAAAATGCTTAACTTTTTTTTTTTTTTGAAAATCTTTTTTGCACTCTTGTTCTCCTGATGTACACAGCAATCTGTTTTTGTTTAAAAAGACATAAGAAAATTGCATAAATTTGCCATCTATACACTTCAGCTTTGAAATGTAGTCTAAACAGACATATTAACGTGGATATCTGGGTTTTGGCAACATACTGCTTTACCTCGTGAATACTTTTTCATGACTTTTCAGTGAAGATGTGGATTATAAAAAAGTGCCAAATGTTTTTATCTCAGTATTACAAAATGTATTATCTAATATTGCTCCTTCATACACATTCTTTAAAATGTATTTTTAAAAGACTGTTATTACAACTCTAGATAATAACAGGCCACTATGTCACTTACACCTAGTCTTGGATTGGCCACTTAACAAGGTTTCAGTGTAATTTTTTTGTTTCCCTTTTTCAATTACATAATTGTCAAGTCATTTAATTCCTCCACTTCTTGTTGTATAACTCACTGAATATTTCTTGAAATCCACTCTATCACAAATTAAAGGAATAGATACAAAACAAGATAACTTTTACACTGTTCTAACCAAATTGTAATTTTTTTAAAAAGTCCTAAGAAATCCATAGCTTAATAATTGTTAGTAGTTGTTCAGTAATATTTGTATTTTTTAAAATTGTTCTTGTGTTGATTTGCTATTTATTTAATTTCAATTTGATGAGAAAATTTAACTATTATTAAATTGCAAATTATTTTTCTCCTAATTTATGCAGAAAAGTTGAAAGTGATGCTGAAGAAAATGCTGATTCAGGTAACTTGAAAATTTCATATCTTCAGAATTGTTAAATTGATGTCAACCCCAGTTACTTAAAGTCACACAATGTAATTATTTTAATAGTCTTGCTAGTATACTAGGAAATTAGTTTCATGAAAATAGATTGGAAGTAAAAACCATGTACTTCATACATTAATATTTGAAATTTCAATAATAAAAAATAAATTACTTTGCTTTCATTTCAGATCATGAATGATTTTCAGTTGGGAAGTTTTCCCAGTAGTAATCTAATACTTCCTCTTAGAAAACAAATTTTTTTGACTTCTACAATGCAGCCTCAAAGCCTACTTAATCTTCAAAAAAGTTCAAGTTTTATTTTCGCTGTTCAAACAGGGTTCGTACGGTCCTTAAAAGTCCTTAGATTTTTTGGAATTGATTTTTGGTTCTTAAAAGTCCTTAATTTTGGTCAAAATCAACAGAAGGTCCTTAATTTTAATCATTTGAAATTTCTGTCTGTTATTACAACTGCCATTTTGAGTGTGAATTAGCATTTTGGAGGAATATTTTTGGCGATTCACTGACATATATGGTTATCTTTTGAATGGGTTCATGGGTTTTAATTTGTTTCTAATATAAATGATGGGATACTCGAGTTTCTAAGCAAGAAGTGAAATATAAACATTTCGAAATTCATTTTTTTCTAATAAAGAGCTCTTAAACAACTTTTCGCTTTTGGGGATGTGAATTCTTTTGTTAAATGGTTCTAAATTTGGCGACTTATCAACATTTTGGCAATTTTAGGATCAGTTTCTAAAAAAAATTCTCCCGAGATCTGGGAATTTTTCGACCATTTTTTTTTAAAACATCGTAACGTTGATAAATTTAATTAAAATAATGGTAATATATTGAAATTAAATTAAAAAATAACATTAAAATAAAACATTTTTATTTTTTGCTGTCATATTATAAAGTTTCATTTTGGCAACTTATTATAAAATATTTTGCATCTGAAAAATAAACAAGGTATAATGCTATAAAGCACAATTTGCGAAACAGCTCTTAACAAAAGCAAAATTAGCTATTTAATTAATTAAAAATGTCTTCTTTTTAATTTTTTCATAGTAATAGTTTTTCCCATGTAATCGTTTCAGAATATTCAAACTTCTCAGAATATGCATCAGTTTTTTCTATAAAATTAATTTTACACTTTTTTTCCCTTTTTTTTTTTTTTTTCTCCAAAATATTTCCGGCTTTTTGCTGTTACAAATTGGTAGGGATAATTTTTCTTTAGGATTTTAGACATTGCAGCTTGGAAATTTTAGAAGGATTTGAAGGCAAGATTTATAGACCCACAATTATAGAAGATTCGAAAAATATGTGACAGAATGAAAAGTATCTCTATGGTATCAACACGGATGTATTTTACAGATGAATTTCTTACTTTTTGGAGAACGTCTGGAAGAACAATGAAAACAATATTTGAATGTTTTACTTCTGATACTAGAATCTTTTTCTCAACGTGTTTATCTTCCTTTTATTTTCTTTACTTTTCACTAGACACTTGCATGGAAAATATCAACAATGCTTCTAATCTTATCACTTGAGAGCAGACATTATAGAAAAGGATTTTTTTATTAATAAAGAAATTGAAAACATACAATTTAAAAGATTCATCTAATATGTATTAATGCATCATACAAGGGTTGCATCATATGAAAACAGAGTGCTCTGGCACTAAGGGCTGGTACTACACATTTTTCCCACCTGATGCAATCTCTGTGGATCCTAAATTCTGCTGCCTAGTGCCTTTTTAAATTCTGCTTTCAATGCCTGTTCGAAATTCTAAAAGTTTTGCCATTTCTAGATTTTGTTGTTCCATGTGTCACTAAATTTTAAAAATTCTGTCACGCCAGTTCTGTACCCGGCCTCTACCATCTATATTTCATATTTCTTCTGAATATTCATATTACTGAAGAAATAAAATTAGCCACTTTTTCTATATATTCTAAATGCATTTAGTGTTTTTTAGAATAACAGAAATCCTTAATTAAATCCCAAAATTCTAAAATGAAAAGGAAACATGTTGTAGAAAGAAACTGAATTCATAAAGAAAATTATTCTTCAAAGGTATTTGCAGTTATCATTATGTAAATTACCCAATTGTTTATGATTTCAGCCTTTACTATAATTTCTATATCCTCATATGATAGAGTTACTGGGCCAGATCAAATTAAAATTAAATTGTATAATCTTTGACCATTAGTTCACATTTTTAAATTTGAATTTGACTGTTCGTGTAATTATGTCATAATTATATTAATTATGTCAATTAATTAATTATGTCTGAAATTGATTTTGCTAGCATAAGAACATGCCTTCATGTTCTAAGTTCTTTTTAAATAAGAGGCTTATTTAAACCTTCATCTGATATTGTAGTTATTTTCAGACATAGCAATAATTTGCTTCATATGTGTCTGACGTTTTGGACTATTTCACTTTTACCAGATCAAGTAAACCATCATAGGTACATTGTGGAGAGGTTGATAGGTTAGAAGATAAATCACTCAGAAATTAGCGAGAGCATTGGTTTGCATATTGAGACAAATCTCTAATTCTTAGAAAAGATGCTTAAAGAGAAGGAAATCGATGTAAACTAGCCTAATTCTAACTCAGAAGTCAAACAACAAAAGCCAAATGTTTGGGAAGGCTTCAAATTAAAATGAAGGATAAATATTTGGAGTGTCGTGTAGCTTTTAATGTGTAATTTTCCTAATATCATTTAAGAATCAATGTCATAAATTACACGTATTTTAAACTGTGGAATTTTATTTTATTTTGATTTTAATAGGTCTTTTTAACAAATATTGTTAAAAAATAAAATTTAATAGTGGCCATGTAAATCCATAATAACTAAGTTTATCTAACTACATAATTTAATTATTTATAACTAATTGCTTACCCTTAAAATTATCTCTACATATTATTGTATGAGTTGTAAATTTATAAGAAGTTTCAATATTATAAAGAATAAGATGCAAAGAGCATCTAGGGCAATTTAAAGGTCTCTCTAGACAAGTAGTAGCAGTGAAAACATTCCGTCTTTTGATATGAATCATGCTGATTATGTATGATCTTACATCTCATTTTAACCTATGCCGTTTGACATAAAATCTACCTGCTATTTACTAAACCAAGACTGACCAAGTATGTGACAAAATGAGATGTTAAAAAAAATCAACATAAAGCTAACTGTTAGTGAAACGTAGATGTCACTTATCTTTCAATATTTCCAGCTGTTATAAGTGTAAAATGTTTAATGATACTTGATAAATAGCATAAAGTTTATTTTATTCTCAAACTTATTAATAATTATGTTAACTAATTCTTGTTTAGTAATAATGCATGCTACTTTGAGATCTATTTTATTTTTAGGATGGTATTACAAAAGTGAAATTCAGCCATAGATAATATTTTTATTGAATTTATCATTTCCCATTTGCTCATAGGTCCTTAAAATTTTCATTAATGGTCCTTAAAAGTACTTAATTTCCGTGTGCAGAAATGTGTACAAGCCCTGTCAAATTCTGTATTCTAGCAGAATAGAAATTGTTGCCATTTCACTTGCTGAAAATCTTTGTTGCAGTATACAGGTGATCCAATGAAAAAGTGTGTAGTTATTTAAAAAATGAAAATAAATTCTATATATGCTTTAAGTAATGGAATAATAGTCTTTTTCTTATTAAATAAATGTGAAATGTCTCTATGTGGTATTAATTTGTGATAAAATAAATATTGCAAAAAGTTTTATTCCACTTATTCTGTGGTATTTCTGTTTGAAACAGCTTGTTGTAAATATTTGATATTATTTTGTGCATCTTGAATTTTCTGAGGATTAATTCTTAATCTTCAGAAATATCCTCCTCTGGTAGGCATATCATAACATGTTATGTTTCAGATATTATACTGCAGTGTAAATATGATGATTTAATTCCAATTTTTTTAAATATATTGAAATTCTATAAACTTTTCTTTGAGACATTAGATTGTAATCTAAGTTTCCAGCTTTTATTATCATTTTCTGAATTTTGAATCATCAAAAATTACACAATTGGAAAAGCACTTTTCTTTGTAAAATGAAATGTAAAACACGTTTTTTGGATAAAGTTATCAAATTAATATAGTTTTCTTTTCCCCCTTGTTTGTGTCTTGCTATCTAATCTGGTCTTTCATGGTTTTAGTGCTGCATCTGCTTCAATGCAAAATTTCGTTGATAACTTCCTACCCATCATACTAATATTTAGGAAACTGAGCTTACGTTCCATTAAGCAGTATTTAAAAATTTTGTTAGACTCTAAATAAATAATTGCAGTGCTTTAGCAGGTATTTATTAGCAAAGAATTGCCATGAAAATCTCCAAATCTCCATTATCAGTTAAAATGTAAGTTACGTATACTCTGAATTTAAGAATAAGCTTTGAAATATGTAGTAATACTGTATGTGTCAAATTATTTCGCACAGTTTTATCAAAATTGATAATCTTATCTTCAGTTTTTTTTTTTTTTTTTTTTTTTTTTTTTTTTTTACTGTAAATCAGACCTAACATATTTCTGTAATGTGTAGATGTTTTATTTAGCATTTTGTGTGTTATGTAGAGTAATGCTAATGTTGGTGTCTTGTAAACTAACACTAATGAACTTGTCAGCATCTGAAAGCTAATACCTGTTCATGGCTGATGGAATTAGTGCACATTGAAGAAGTTATGCCAAGATTGCAAAATTATGCAAATAGCTAGAGTGCATGTTAGTATGCAAGTTATCTAAATTTGTTATGGTTAAGTGTGGTTATATACCTAACAATGATACTACAACTGTGAACCAGGAGATTTAGGTAGCAGCATCTGTATGAGTGGTTAAAGCTCAGCTGTTGCAGTCACATTGAAAAAGAAAGATTGCACTTACGCTCCAGAGAAGACACTTTCTACATTTCACAGGCTACCAGATAGATATTACCAGAATAAAAATTGCAGGATGAACAACATGCCATATAAACTACCACCTGTATAATTTGAATAATGCTGTCTGACAGTGATGACAACAGCAGAGATATGTATATAAGTCATACACAGTGACTGGCTCATGAAGCATTAGATAGATATCAGACTCGTTCCCCAGTCATATACAAATCCAATAGGAACCTGATCCACTACCCAGGCAGCTATTGTGGCTCAAGTGTGTGTGAAACCCAATGTAAATTGCTTCTAGAAAATGAATCTCTAATCCCAGTATCTTTTACGTGCTCCTCTTTTAACTCTAGAATATTGGCAGCTCCATTTCCAGTGGGATCAGGCCATGGCAACATGGAGCACCACAGAATGGTGTTTTGTGAAGTTCAGCAATGAGTTACGTTTATTTGAGGTTGGATTTATGTTCATCATATTAAGGCATAGAGGCCTGTGGCCAGCATACAATCCCAATTTCACTTTGAATGTCACATGATTATAGTAGCAGGTATTATGGCTGGGAAACCATATTTTATGACTATTGAACTGCTTTAGATTGCTTCATGGTATGCTGGCAAGCTAGCTGTATATGGATGAAATCATATGTTCGTATATGCTCATGTTTGTTGTCAAGAGTTCTTCAGTGTTCAACAGAACAGTGCCTGGCTGCATTCGTCATGGGTTGTCATCATTCACTATGTCTTAAATATGTAACTTGCTTAAGCTCTTCACTTTCTGGATGTCTCCTCTTTTGAATGTGCATGGGAGCAAATGAAAGAAGGCATGCAGATATACCAGAATATTCCAAGATTTAGAATAAACCTTGTGGCAGATGGATCCCATCTACCATATAGAACTCTGCTGAACCTCCATGCCAGAATGTGTGGTGACCTATATTCTATTACTTGGTGTGCAGCATTATGCTGAAAACTGGACTAAGTCCTACATGCTCGTGACTAATTGCCATATTAAGATAAAATAACATGCTAAACAAGTATTAATTTAGAAGTCAAACAACAAAATCAGTATTGTATTTGCAAATTTTCATAGGACTAGTTTCGATGGTTTTACTGAAGCATCATCCTCAGCCGCCAAAGTTAAAATCCTCCCAGCGGAGGATGTTGGTTCAATACAATCATCGAAATTAGTCCTGTGAAAATTTGCAAATATAACGCTGATTTTTATTGTTTGACTTCTAAATTAATAATTGCTGTATTGCTGTGTTTCTGAGATCGTGTATCATTATGTCTTAAATTTCATTTATATATAGTGCCTTTTTCTATGTGCTCTGCTTTCTTTCACTGTTGAGTTTATAATGTATTAAGAAATAAAATGTCACTTAAAATAAAATTTTCATACCTTGTACTAATATAAATTTGTTTATTTTTTAGAAAGTGATGCAGAAAGTGATGAGTAAGTATTTTATTTAAATGCTAATTATATATGTTTTAGATATTTATATATTGTAAATCTGTTTGTATTAATTTAAAATTCTATTGTTATTGTATAGATTATAAAACGGGTACATTTAATTCTGTGCTTTTGCAAGAATAGGTTCGTGTTTTTCTCTTTTTAACTTAAGTTGATCTATTGGGGACAGACAATGTGACATGTGCATTAAAAAAAGGACTGTTGGGATAATAATAATCTAATCATCATCGCTTCAAAATAAAAAAGTAGCTGCATGGGTTTTCAATTATAAGAAAATAATTATCCATTGAAAATATTTTTAATGCCCTGAAGAGGTATGTTGTTTTCACTTTATGATAAAATTTTGTTGCCATTCAATGGTAAGGTCTTTATTTTTATTTGCAGTATTATACAAATATGTTAATCAGTTGGGCATAAGTTAGTCATATAAAATTTGTCACCTTGATTCCTTAACAGTAATTTAGGTACTTACGTATTATTGCAACCAGGTTGGCGCGATTTGTGAGTTTGAGTAAAAAAGTATGAATAGAAAGAAAATGTACATTTATTAATTACAGATAATTTTTAATACAGTTTTTTATACTATTTTGTTTTAAAATATAAAATAGCAATTAAACCCTTCCGGTTTCGAATTTGAAAAAGTTGCAGAATTATTTTTTCGGCGGAAATCTTTTGGCTATTGCTTTTAGCACTAATTGAAAACCGTCTTCGCCATTAACAGCTTGAGCTTGGCGCCATATAAATTCGATAAGGTATGAGTCAAGATGATGATGGGCTGTTCTTCTCTGTTTTTTGTTGCGCCATTTGGCTGAGCCCCACATGCGCTCTACATGTTGTGTGTGAACGCCCGTGTTGGGATCCACAAAGTTATATTTGTGATTAACAGTTCCATGCAGAAATCCAGCATTTTCGAACTCGCTTGTATTGTATCCTTTCCAGCAATCCGAATAAATGATGCTTTCTTCCTTGATATTTTCGCAAATTTTTTCCATTAGGGTAACGGCGCTTCTGTTAGGTACAGTAACCAAAAAAGTCTCTTTCTTTTCTCGGCAAATTCTGCCGAAAACCCATTGCTGTGGTAGTACACGCCCAGTGTTATTTTTTCTTTTTACAAATAAACTTTCGTCTAAACACGTAGGGTTGCCGTAAGTGGGGTCACCAAATTTGGCGATTTATGCGAATTTTGGCCTGGTTGCATTAATATGTAATTACCATTTACAAGAAATGTTATTTTATATTAATAATTTCATGAATAAAAAGATGTCTAAAATTCTGCAATAGGTAAGTCAGTATATTTCTAACTCTGCATCTTATGTATGCTTCTGCATGTAAAGTAAAATTTAAAGGTTACAATGAAGTTTTGAAGTTAATCTATATTTCACACCATTTCAAGTAATAATAATAATAATAATTTAGAAACAAATACCAAGGCATTTAAAAACAAAATTCTTGAGTAAAATTTAATCTCTTATCTGCATATAAAATGATGATGTCTACCTGAGAATTAAATATCAGTGATTGCAAAAAATGAAAATGACTAAGCAAGAATGAGCGGCCACAAAAATGCTTGGAATTTTTCAATATGTACTGTCAGTTTCTTGACTATTAGCAAGTGAGATCTTCAAATGTTATTTTTGTTTATAAATTATTTATTGTAACATAGTATATATTAAGTATAATGGTTATAAAATTTAATTGCATATGTTTAGTAAATAGTTTTTTTTAGCTTCTTTTTATTAGGAATAATGCATTGTAATTTTGCAGATAAAATATGTAAAATTTGAAGAAATTAGTTATTTGTATTAACAAAGTTAACCTGCTTTTAACATGAATTTATTAAATAATTTGAAATCAAATCTAAATTAAATAACTTTATATATTTATCATCCAGTCTTATTATATATGTAGAATACTAATATTCAAAAGGAACAAGGAGTAGCTTGTTAGCTGTATTACTTGATGAAAAGTATCTTGATATAAAATACTACAGAATTTTAATTTTAACAATAACTTCATACTTTTAGCATAATTATACTTTTTGCATAATGTAATATGCTGAGTTAAAATTATTTTCTATATTCAATTATCTTCAGTTCTCTTTTTAAATAAAAAATAAAAACTTTGAACAATGTGGAAAATAGCTAAATGTATGTTAAAATAAAGCATAAACAATGGTAAAAAATTGCAGCAGTTTTTTTTTTTTGGGGGGGAGGGCTTGTAAGTTAAAAATTATTTTGCTATCTAGTTTTGTCAAGTCACGTGAAAATGTTTCTTATTTAAGAAAAATCACACGAAAAATGCTTTTCATTTCTTTCACTATTGGAAAACTTTCTACCATTTGTATTTTAACAATTAATTGGATCTGAATTGAGTTCTTTTTTGAGCATGCTGCCATGAGTAAGATAATTAATGAAAATTCATTATTTAGTGAAAAAGTGTAATTCTGAGTAAATAATTGTCTTAAATTATTGAATTAAGAGCACTTGAAATAATTCAAATTCAATTAGCACATGCATACCTAATAATCATCTCCAGCACTAAGCTAAGCTATGCAATAATTTGATAAGTAGAAAAATAATTGTAAAGTCGGGGGGGGGGAAGATTAAATGGTCAGAAAGGAATTCAGAAACTATCCAGAGTTCAGTCATCCAGATTGCAACAAAATAAACATCTTTTAGATAAATTTTTCTTATTCCATAAAGTATCTTTTTACAAATCAAATATGAAAATTAAATATTTATTATATCGTTTATTTTATTACTAGCCACTCTGCATACAGCCTTCGCCTGGCTTTTAAATGTACCGCAAAAATGCCTAAAGGGAACACCAAAAATTAAATTTAAAACCTGCATAGAATTTTACTCAACAGAACAATTTTATCAAAAAAAAAAAAATCACATATTTAAAAAAATACAATGACGTAAGCAATATCCGTTAATACAAATAATAATTATCCTAATAAATAAATTAACCAACTTCCCGTTGCAAAAGCTTAAGAATTCAAATGGTATAAAGGAAGTTAAGTACTTTGTTTCACACACAAAAAAAAAAAACTTTTTTATATGATTAAAATTATATGTAATTAAAATATAATTAAAAAAATATGATAAAATAAACAATAAATCTCACATTTTCAAGAGAAAACAGTCAGCAGTCCAGTATCCAAAGCAATGAATGAAAAACTGTTGAACTGTTGCCACATTAGCTAATAAAGAGGGGGGGGGAGGACATTTTGTTTGTTGTGCTTCGCGAGACACGTGTGCATCAGAATAAGATGTCCAGAAAATTTGTTTGTCCCAAAATCAGAAGAAAATAAGCAGCATGAAATGACCAATATCCCTTAATACAAATATTAATTGTCCTAATAAATAAATTAACCAACTCCCTGTTCAAAAAAAAAAAAAAAAAAAAAAAAAAGGGGGGGGGGGGAGGAAAGAGAAATTTTGTTAAACTTTTCAGTTGTCTTAAAAGCAGTGAAATAAGCAATAAATATTTTATCTCATATTTTCAACAGTCCAGTATACAAAGCATTGATTGAAAAACTGTTGCCAAAACCATATTTCTAAAAGAACAATTCAAAATGATGCAATTTTATCAAAAAAGGTAAAATAAAAAATCTTATTCAAATTTTTAAAAAATTTCTTCAAGGTGTACTGGATCTGGTCTAGATGCACCTATGTACCAAATTTCGTAGCCCTGGGTCTATTACCCTAGGACAGCAGCACAAACGAAAGACGCACACAGATGCACTCACCTTGGAGGTGGTGTGTTGTTGGAGTAGTACAAACTCGCAAGACTGGCTATTTCACATCCCTAAGCCCAACTTTTAAAAACATTCATTAAAAAGATTTTTTATTTTACCAATTGTTTTGATTTTTTTTTTTTTTTTTTTTTTTTTTTTTTCTGTAATGGTATCTAACACAAATGTGATCATAAATATAGAATATCAAGAAGTTCTGAAAAAATTCTAACTAAAATGTAAATGCAAAATAAAATAGTTCACTCATCTTAATTAAGTGTTATATAAAACCTGACTTAAATCTCTATTTAAATATACATAAAAAATAATGAAATATATTATCAAATATCATAGTGTAAATGATTCAGAAAGTGTGTGATAATCTAGTCACTTTCATTTCATTAGTTGTGAAAGACATTTTCAGGTCAAATGTTCTAATTACTCCATCTCCGCAGAATAATTAATCCTAGGAATCTCCTCATTTTATTCAGATCTATCATTTTCTTATGCTATCCATCATTTTCTTATGCTAGAAGAGCATGTTGATTTTGGATGAAGATGGATTTTCGCTCATCTTTTGTTCATAGAAATTATTAATTTCTTCAACCATTATGTTAATTAGATTATTGAAAAAAAAAGGTTGAAGAATCAATTTCATTTTCATAACTTTGAATTAAGTTTACTTCTGTGATTCCTGTAAATGCATAAGGCTTCAATTACTTAACAGATCGAGTTCTTGATGGAGTAGTCACTGTTCTGCTGGATTGTGAGGTAAAAGCAAAACAAACTTCCAATTCAGTCTCTGAGAAAATTTTGGTATTGTAATCGCTGTTGTCACTTAAATCTAGAGTTTTCGGTTCAAAATAGGTACTCATGGGCTCTAATGTACACTTATGCGCTTTACAATTTGAATATACTCTTCTTCTTCTAGGCATTGCACTCTTGTGCAAAAAACTTATGTCTGCTATCTAAAGAAGATGCAAGCTGAATACAAATCAGAGTCCCTCACAACTCCACTCCCAAACTTCCCATAGGGGAAAAAAAAAAAAAAAAAAAAAATTTTAAGCATCGGAAACTGTTCAATGTTTATATCACTTGAAGCCAACTGCATGTCAGCTGGGTTTTGTTAACTTTATATCATCTGCTCGTACATCTATAGGAATCACTAAAATCAGAAAGTACTTCGCAAAAACAAGATAAACAATGTATATGTTCAAATAAGCTAATTGTAGTGGACATGGAG